AACTGGAATTTGTTTCTCACAATTAAGAATCATACATACATTTCACATTGTATATTACATGGATATATTATGCGTGTTTAGCAACAGAGCAATATATTAAATTCATATTTCATATATATTGCACAGAACATTTATTGCACCAAACTCTTTTCTCCTGCAGGCTCATGAATATACAGTATAGCCAGGATAGCTCTCAACCATTTATTTAGGAATTTTCAAAGTTGCAGGCAACACTTATGTACTGTCTTTCTATGTAAGGCACTTCAACATGTGCAGAAGCCATCATGAGGCTAGCTTGTCAGTCATCTTTAGCATGTATGCGTAATGCTCACACAGCTGCATCTTTAAGCAATCAGTGTTCTACTTCTAACTCTTACCTGCTCCTTCCAACTGAAAAAAGGAGCAAGGAACATGCATTTCACATTAATAATTATGCTACTGAAATTAGCGTGTGCTGTAAATTGCCTCCAGCATTGTTCCTGTTCCTTCTTGCAGGAGGCTGCCATTTGCTGAAGCCCATAACTCATGAGCAGCAGTAAATCTTTAGGCTGTCAGCATGCATTTACTTAACTATACCTGCAAGTAGGGCCCACATGAAGTACTCTGTCAGGACTAAAGTTTCACATTAAATATACAGCTTTTATCTTCAGCTTGTTCAGTTAGGCTTTGAAAATGAAAGATAGAAGCTGATTGGTTGCCATACACAACTGCTCCAGATTGTGACTGCTCCAACATTCATAAATTCCTCTGGCAGGATCATCAGATAAAAATAAAGGAATATGATTGAAAAAAGAAACTTAATGCAGCCATCCCATCTATGGACTAGTAAGCTATAATATATAAATTTTTGTTTCTGAGTTTATATTCCCCTTAAGTCAGGATCATCAGATAAAAATAAAGGAATATGATTGAAAAAAGAAACTTAATGCAGCCATCCCATCTATGGACTAGTAAGCTATAATATATAAATTTTTGTTTCTGAGTTTATATTCCCCTTAAGTCAATGTATAACAGGGAATTTCAGGCAAGGACGGTCATTAGGCTTGATTGAAGATGCAGTACAAACAAAGTGTCAGAAAAAAAATCTTATTCTAAATCTGGCCATACACTGTTTTTTTAATAGCAAATTCCTCCATCCTCACAAACAAGGTGGATGAAGGATTGCTTACTGCAAGGACATTGTATTCTGACAGCTGCGACAGCATTGAGAAAAATAAAAAAAACAACCTGATTAAAAATCTCAATTTGGCTGGTCACTGGTAAATTAAATGAATTTTGATCAGTGTATGTATGGCCAGCTTTAGCCTAACCCTATCCCATAATGCCAAACATCAGACAAACAAACAAAGCCCAAGAGCACATTATAGGTATTTTTTCAAAGCGGAGTTCCACTCACTCTGTCAAAAAATAAAAGTCAGCAGCTACAAAAACTGTAGCTGCTGATTTTTAAAAAACAGCCACTTACCTGTCCCTCGGTCCCACGGTGTGGCCCCGCAGCCCGTTTCACCAGCCGTCCTGTATTCCAGGAGGCCAGCATCTTCAGTGTGGGCACCTGACTGTGACAGCATGGTACCCACTGCGCATGCATGAGCAGCCCTGCACTTCATGAATGGTCCTGTAGTCTTCTGGGACCTGTCACGTGTCCCAAAATACTACAGGGAGGGAGGGAGGACACCTTCCGCTTCCAGTCGCCTAGGCAATCGAACCGGAACTGGGAGCGGGTACCTGTCAAATTCGGGTACCCGCTCCCCCCCCGCCCCCCAAAGGTGCCAATCCTTAATGGGGAGCGGGGGAGCAGTCCTTAAAGCGAAACTTCCCCTTTAGGTTGAAGCTCCGCTTTAACTTCAGCTTAAAATTTTCGGAAAATATTTAGTGTGCAAATTATTTTTATTATTATACAGGATTTATATAGCACCAACAGTTTGCTCAGCGCTTTTACAAATCTATTCTATAGTATATCAGTGATTACAATTCTGACAGCAATTTGTAAAATGCTGAAATAAAAAAAAAAATAATAAAACCCATTCTCATCATGCAACACTGGTCTGGTACTAGAAAGCTGCCTTTTTATTTTTATAAATTTGAAATACCAGTGAAGCAATATGGATCACAGAAACATTACAAACACTACAAAGCATAGAGCATAATATGTTATGAATAATAGTGATTAGGTCCCATCTTTATTATGTGATTTCATAGACATATAGAGTTGAATAGAATCTTACCTTCTACTTCTAACAGTGCAGGTTTGGAAATTGCAGTACCAACGCTGTTCTTGGCTACACACAACGGTACTGACCAACATCCTCCCTTTGTGCTTTCTGTATTCTAAGGCTTCCAGATTCCAAGATGGAGATGCGAGCGTTCTCCTTTAATTACAGAAATAAATCATGTCTGTGAACAGCAGTCAAATTTTACACTGTTATGTGGAAAATTGGACCTAAACTCAAAAAACAGAAGATTTGTTATACTGCTATTTTGTCCCTAAGCAGTATCCTAAAAATGTACTTTTTATCTGGCATTCCTCCTGAAAAGTAGCAGTGCTCTTCTTGGTATGTGAATGTGCCTAGGCACTTCTGTGTGTAAAGCCTCATAGCTATAGAAGGTAACTGCAGTGTGAGACCTAAGGCACTACTGCCTCTGACTGTTAGTCTCATGAGATCTTGAGTGAGGTTGTGTAACCTTAGTACCATGTTGCTCATTGTTCTCCTAGCTGAAGGCTCTGACATGAGGAAGTAAATCCCTATCAAGATGTCCAGCCCAAAGAAACACGTGTAGAACAAGGCATGATATGTCAGTAATTGGAAAAAGATTAGCTGCATGGGGACAACAGGCAATGCTGGTGAATAGGGATGAACTTAGATTTGGCTTAGCTTTGGACTGAACTCATGATCTGCCAAACCCGAAGGCAGCTTTGAGTGTTTCCAGTTTCATACAAAGTGTATAATTCATATTGCAGTATACATTTATTTTAGATGGAATACAGACCATTACATAACAACTCTAATATCTACAACTGGAAACCCGGTCCTGAAGAAGCAAACCTGACTGCCAATTGCATTGAAACAATTCCATAGATATTGATCTGTATCTATGATGTACAGTTGTGTTCAAAATAATAGCAGTCAGACATCACTAACCTGATCAATCACTGTTTTTGGTAGAAATTATATTTCTACATGGCAAATAATTTACTAGCAGGTGTAGTAGAGTAATAGAAATCCAACAGACCCAACAGTCATGACATGCATGCTGCTGATTCTGTGTAATTGAATCACTAATTGAAAGGGGCATGTTCAAAATAATAGCAGTGTGGAGTTCTATTAGTGAGGTCATTCATTCTTTGAAAAACAGGTGGCAATTATTACCCTTATTTAAGGAAGGAAGGCAGCAAATGTTGAACATGCTGCTTACAGTGCATTTCTTTCTGAAATTCTGAGGAAAATGGGTTCAGAAGAACAGCGTACCTTGATTAAAAAGTTGATTGGAGAGGGAAAAACATATAAAGAAGTGCAGAAAATGATAGGCTGCTCAGCTAAAATGATCGCAAATGCTTTAAAATGGTGACCAAGACCTGAAAGACGTGGAAGAAAGCGAAAAACTACCATTCGAATCGATAGAAGAATAGCCAAAATGGCAAGGACTTAGCCAACAATCAGCTCCAGGAAGATCAAAGAAGATCTAAAGTTACCTATGAGTACTGTTACAATTAGACGACACCTATGTGAAGCCAAGCTATCTGCAAGAAGCCCCCTCAAAGTCCCACTGTTGAAAAAAAGATGCTGCTGAAGAGGTTACAATTTGCCAAAGAGCACATTGACTGGCCTAAAGAGAAATGGCGCAACATTTTGTGGACTGATGAAAGTAAGATTGTTCTTTTTGGGTCTAGTGACTGGAGACAGTCTGTCAGATGACCCCCAAGCACTGAATTCAAGCCACAGTACACTGTGAAGACAGTGAAGCATGGTTGCACAAGCATCATGATATGGGGATGTTTCTCATACTACGGTGTTGGGCCTATTTATCGCATATAGGGATCATGGATCAGTTTGAATACATCAGAATACTTGAAGAGGTCATGCTGCATTATGCTGAAGAGGAAATGCCCTTGAAATGGGTGTTCCAACAAGACAACGACCCCAAACACACCAGTAAACGTGCAACATCTTGGTTCCAGACCAACAAGATTGACATTATGGAGTGGCCAGCCCAGTCTCCGGATCTTAATCCAATAGAAAACTTGTGGGGTGACATCAAAAATGCAGTTTCTGAGGCAAAACCAAGAAATAGAGAAGAACTGTGGAATGTAGTCCAATCATCCTGGGCTGGAATACCTGTTCACAGGTGCCAGAAGTTGGTTGACTCCATGCAACACAGCAGTTCTCAGAAACGGTGGTTATACAACTAAATATTAATTAAGTGATTCAAAGGAAAGCAAAATCTTCAAACATTTTTTCAGTTTATATAGTGAATGTTTGAGTTTGTAAAGAAGAATACAAACACTGCTATTTTTTTGAACAGTCTAATATTCACTTTTTTTCATTTTCTTTAGAGGAACAACACAAATTTGATATATTTTTCTTCATGTTTTGATTTGAAATAGAATGTGTAGTGTTCCCAATGCATTTGTGTGTATAAAAATAAAAGCAATTAGAAGGATTTTGAGTTTTATTCACTTTTTTCAACACACTGCTATTATTTTGAACACAACTGTATATGTGAGATAGTCGTACAGTATATGAACTTGTCATGAGCTGTGAATACAAGGCACTTAGTTTGATGAACCGATTATGTTGAGTTTTATCTGGAATAATCAATAACATTTTGTACAATTTTTATCTTATGTTCATATATATTTTTATGTCATGTGTAAAGTCCCTTCTTTTCTAATAATTATGTTGAATGTTTGTTTTCTTCTTCTTTGTTAGGCTGCTTTGAGCCAATGGATAGTTGAATAGCAATAAAAAAGGTTTTAATTTTTCTATTACCTTAATGGTATTTTCTCCCTTTAACCAAGAAACAGAAGGCTTCGGATTTCCCAAAGTATTGCATGGAAGGACAGCTTTCACACCTTCAATAAGCTTTACATTCATTGGTGGACGCGTGATTTTTGGTTCTAAAAACAAAAAGAAAGTATTTCTAACCAAATATGTATTATTCCTGTGATTAAATGATAGATATTAAAAGCTAATAATGAAACATAAAATATCTGTAAGACTATCTATGATGTCTGACTTCTTTCATGGTGCAGGTACATTAAAGGGAATGCGTATTGTTTAAATAATTTCTTTATTTATTATATTACGAAACAAAAAAAAAAAAAAAAAAAAATTACATATACATATTTTGTATTTTCATTTCCAGTCAGCAGACAGCACTATACAGTAGGTGACATTTCACGGTATCTGTCTATTCTTAAAGTGACAATAAATATCCTTATATTTAAAAAATAATCCATATTATTTATTAGCCCTGTAATCTATTTTTCATGAAACCATTTCTTACTGTGTTTTTTCTGCTACCCTTCAATGTCTTACATGAGCTCCCAAATCGCTCCTCCCTCCCCCCATTTGTTTAGAACAAACAATGCTCATTAATTACAGTGCTCCCTAAAAATACCATAGTCCATAGTTATGGAAACAAGCAAACAGCTGGTGGCTACGTTCCTATGTACAGTGAGGCCATGAAGAATGAATGTAGCCACCCTTTAACAGAAGGCAGTTGGAGATTTGGAGGATTCAAAGCAATTTGGAGAATATTTTTTAATCCAGAATTTAATGACACTTAATTTTCTTTGTTGAAAAAAGTCAGTTGTTTACAGAATTCATTCTAAAATGTACATAAAAACTCAAACTAAAGTGTAACACTCATAAAACAAAAACAAAACAAAAAGTAATATCAGTCCACTAAGTGTGTCTATAGTAGAATGTCCATGCAAACAAAAGAACTCCACCATGAATTATAGCTTAAATAATCTTCATATAGTGTAAAAACTCCTTCAGGTGGAAAAAAAAAAACACCACTCCACACCAATCTCCACGCCAGTGCCCAGATCAAAGGCTTACCGAAACAGTATGACCCTCAACATGAGAAGTCATATAGCGCTTGAAAGAGATTAGCTCAAATCCTGGATCTATGATGTTGCCATTTCACATCATATTTACAGACATTCTCTTTCTATACATAGGGGAATGCGTATAGAAAAATGAGAATGCTCCACATAGTGTAAAATCAATGGCATCCAATATTTATTAAAAAAATAAAAACAACGCTACTCATGGTATTGGACCAATGGTACCACAGTTTTACACCTATCCCTAAAGCTAGAGGGTTCTCCATTGCCATACATAAAACCTGCCCATTTCTTCTGTTATTTGTTAGATCTGACCCTGAGGGTAGGTTTTTGTTCCTCAAAGGAATTCATGGCCAGAGGAATACCATTTCTGCTATATATGCCCTGAATACATGGACAGTTGATTTTTTATCTGTCACTCTGAAACAACTTTCAGTTTTCTGAGATGGCATGGTGTTGCTGGGAGGGGAGGGGGGGTGTTTTTAACGTAAAGTCGGACCTTAGCTTGTATTCCTTCTTTGATAAAACCACCTTCTCATATAGAGCCCTGAAACATATTAAGAAACTGCTCAGTGAGTTACATCTTGTTGATAGTTGGAGGACCCTTCCCAAAGCTCAAGAGAGAGAGAGAACTTGGAGACTTAATGAGACTCTCTTGGATGACCCTGCCATCCTGGAATCTGTTTTCCGTTCCATGCTGTATTACTTTGAAACTACTCTGTATGACTTTGAGGAGGTGTCAATGCAAGGGAGAATTGATCTCTCACAGGGCTACGGTGAAGAAAGAGCAACAACAGGAGGTTTTAGATCTGCTAGATAAAATACATGGCCTTAAGCTTAAACACAAACAACACTTTGACCCAGCCGATGCCAAAGTCATGGATGCCCATCGGCACTCTTTATCTCAAGGTTTAGAGCATAGGGTGAAGGATAAGCTCCAATTTTATGCCCACCATTTTTTTCTGCACATGGCAACAAATGTGGCCATTTGTTTTCTGGCATGCTGAAGAAGCAGCAGGCCTCACTCCATATTAATTTTCTAACGGTGCAGGAAGAGCCCTGGATATTACTTCCATTGTGTGGGAGTTCCAATTTTTATGAGGCTCTCTACAATATACAGCAGAGTCCTTCCTCCACAAACACCATTGACCAGGTGAAGGCTTATTTGCAAGAATCAGCTATAATCTGCTTGCCATCAGGTGTGTTGGCGTATCTGGAGTGCCGATAACTCCTGAAGAATGGGGGCAGTTATCTAAGATCTCCTAAAGGGTAGGAATCCCGGGCCAGGCAGGTTCACCAACCAATATGATAAAAAGCTGTTCTCCGTCTTAGTAGACCCACTGTGTAATTATTTAAGTTCTGTTAAGCTTGACAAGGCCCTGCTTCCCTAGGCCCTTTTGGCCTACAATACTGTTTTACTTAAGCTGGGGAAAGATCCCCAGTATTGCACTAACTATAAACCGATTTCCTTGTTAAATTCGGACACTAAGATCCTGGCCAAGCTTCTTGCTATTCACCTTCAAGATCCTATAATGGCACCCTGACCAGACAGGCTTTATTGTGGGCAGTGAAGCTCGAGATAATACCATATGCACTTTACATATCCTACATTGGGGTCAACATGGTCTTGATTGAAGGCCCTGTCCAGAAGGCCTTTGATCGGGTTAATTGGACTTTCTGACAGTCTTGTTGCGTATGCTAGGTTTGGGTGACTGGATACTTGGTTAGATTTTAGCCCTCTAAATTGGCCCTAGGGTGAGGGTAAAGGTCCATGGGATGTTGTGTGAGCATTTCCAAGTCCACAATGGGGCAAGACAGGGGTTTCCACTGTCCCCGTTACTGTTCGCTTTGGTCTTGGAACCTTTACAGGTCCACAGCAACCGGGACAAAGCTGGGGTTACCATAGACTCGGTCGAACATAAACTATCAGCCTATGCTGATGAACTCCTTTTTTACTCGCCCCCAGACCTTTCTCTCCCTGTGCTAATGGAAGAACATAGGTTTGGAAGTATCTCTAACTTTAAAATGATTTAAGTCCGAATTGATGCCCATCTATGTTCCTTTGGAAATGGCTACTTTGTTGCACCACACTTTCCAGTTCCAATGGCAGGTGGAATCACTGCCTTATTTGGAGACCCATATCTCATCTAACCAATGCACCTCATATGACCTTAATTATAGTAAATTATTGGACAGAACTTTGGGGGACTTGATATCCTGGCATGACTACCCTTTAACATGGTTTGGATGAATAAACATACTCAAAATGACTATCCTCCTTCATATCATATACTTATTATACACTATTATGATCTCTGTACCACAATTTTATTTTTTGGCGAATCAAACAGGCATTTTTGAAGTTCATATGGTATGGGAAACCATCGAGAATCGCTTATGCTATCTTATGCAGACAAAAACAGGAAGGCGGGGTGGGCCTACCTAAGATAGCTATGTATTACAAGGCCAGGGCCCTAGTTTGGATATTGAACTGGCACCTCTACTAATCTTTGGGTGCCTTTGGAGAAGACCTTGGTGGACAGGAATTTATCAGGGGCCCTGTGGATTTTGTCTCAAGGGTAGCAAAAAACCTAAATATACCACTGATCCACACACCTGTCAGATTAGAACCTGCAGCTGTGTTTGTTCAGCTGCTATATCCCCACAGTGCAAGGCTGATTTCACACTGATCCATTTTTCTTCCGCTTTTGCCTTAAAAAAAGTGGAAGAAAAACATGTGACCATGTATTCGTATGGCACTCTTCACACTGATCCGTTGCAGGTCACGTGCGGTTTTTAAAATGCTACTGGCTGCATTTTTGGTGCAGGTTTGGTGCAGTAAAAAAAAAGCATAAAAAATGCACCTCCCCATTGAAATCAATGAAAAGCGTGGCAAAAACGCATCAAAAACGCACCCATGGTGCGTTTTTGAGTCACATGTCCCTGCAAAAACATGGCAAAACTGCAGCAAAAATCGTGGTAAAAACGCATAGGTGTTTTTTCTAGGATCAGTATAAAACCAGCCTAACATAGGCTGCCTGCAAACAGCATTAGCCACAAAAAAAAAAAAAAAAAACAGTGAATAACACTGTACAGGCCACAGCACCTATGTGAATGAGTCTAAAAGACCTCATTTATGCACAGAATTTTATTTATTAACTCAATACAGTTTTATCTTTTAAATTGAGCAGGAATTTGTTTATAAGTTATGTTAGTGTCCGCTACTATAATAATGATTTTAGTGTATTTTAGGGGGAAGGGGGCTGCCAGGTGGGCTGTATGAGCCCTATGTTTTCTGACAGCAGCCTTGCCATCACTGTAACTCTTGTTGATTAGTTTATGTAACTATAGGGCACAATAGGATTACCATTCAGAGGAACATAGGTTTCCCAATCACTCAAAATCTTACCCATTCCACAAGCATAATCTTCTTTAGCAAGCAGGAAAATTACCCCCCCCCCCCAATCCTCGTTGCCAGAGTGACTAACCAAATTCTTAGTTTCACATAATGATTTCACACCTTGACTGATCCTCTGGTCCAGGGCTGTGGATAAGGGGGTACCACCTGTCCTACTGTACGGGGCCAAGGCCAGCAGGGGGGCCCAGGCAGCTGGGTTATTTAGATGTGGGAGGGAGGGTGATCGGCATGGTGGGGGGGAGGTCAATTACTGGAACTGATCCCTTGTATGGTTCCCTCTTCAGCAGTTGAGATCAGGCTTCTTCTCTTCTTCCTCCCACTGGCTTTCAGCTGCTGCAGAGACAGCTATACAGGGGATCGGTTCCAGTAATTGACCCCCCCCAAACTGCACCCATCACCCTCCCTGTGTACAATACCTTTTCCCCCTGTTGTTGCCCTGGCCCCCTTGTGTGCCCTCACCCCAGCTTTTCTCCTCTCCTTCCCACTGGCAGCTGCAAGCACAAAATATTATCCTTCAGCATGGACAGTGAGGGAAGGTTCTGATAAATACGTTACATTTATTATACAGGATTTACCAGCCCCTTCCTTTCCTGAATGAACAAAATGAGTGATTGGTACCAATTAC